TCAGAGTCCAAAACAATCCTCCGCCCTTCTCCAAATTCAGGCATTGCTGAAGAATTTTCTCCCCAAATCAGTAACTTCTTCCTTAATCTCTGCCAGTTCAAGCAACACCTATTTCTTCTCCAAGGTCTGTAGTCATCCACGCCTGCTGAAAGAACAGTCAAATGGCTTTCCTCCTACTAGCCCCAGGCTCTCTGGCCAGGGTCCTCTCGGAAAGTGCCGGCACCAACATTAGCTCTGCACCCCATACTCCAGTACTTTACAGTACCCTGGAGTTTCTTCCTCTTGCTTTGTCCCTCTGCAAACATTCTCTGATCCTCTGTTTGTGAGCTTTCTTAGTCACATCACTGAGAGAAAGCTAGCTCAGGTCACCATGAAGACACACCACCTAAGCTTGACCCTCAATGTGTGCATCTACACATGCATTTAACTGCGACTAAATTTAATGCGCATTAAGCGATTTTTGGCAGGTGTCTACACATGCAGGGACTTGGCACTGAAGTTAGTGCCAAGCCCCTACAGGCCTGTCATGTGCCCCTAGTGGCTGGGCAGACCTGGCACTAAAGTTAGTACTGGGTCACGTCTATATGTGTGTTAATGGGCTTTAACTAATCACAACTTAATTTGATACCTGCATTTGCAGGTATCAAATGTAGGCCTCATTAGCCTAATTTCGCCATTTTAATGTGCATTTAAGATGTGCACTTGTAGACACGTGCTTGTAATTTGCATTAAGGCACATGTAGACGTACCCAAACATATCATTCTGCTCCGTATGGGCTGCCTTCTAAACGGGAAGCAAGTGTAGGTGTATCTGTGTGGCACTTCTAGTGGGCTTGCACTGCTGAGTGGCAGGGCCAATTAGCCAGCTCCCATGCTAATGAGCCTGCCCACATTGCTATGACAACATGGCTATACCATTTCTGAGTTAGGAGGTAGCTTGTATGGTGTGTTTGAGGGCACGGCCTGGGGCAGTAAGTTTGCCAGGTACACGCGGGTTTGAAGACCCAGGCGGTATTGGGGAACATTATGAAGAATTCTGGGGTGTTCCTGCCTTAATAAAATCAAGACCTCCAGAGTCATCCATGCATTTTCCTTAAACATAAAATCCACATGTCAGTTAGGGCCCAATCATGCTAGCTCTCATGCCCATAAGTTGCTTTACTCTTTCAAACAAATTGCTCCATACCAATAACTTTGGGCGCGATATCAGCTACTTACATCCTGAAGATCTGGACACCCCCGTTTGCTTTCTCTGTGTGGATGGGCTAATGCATGAGGGCATACTCCAGTGCCCGCTGACAGCAGTGAGAGTCCTGGCCTTGACTTTGATGGGCCCTGAGTTTCCTTGGGGGAAGATCAACTGCTGTGACAGCACGTTTTGATCGAATACTAGGGGATCTTTGAGGAAAGTGAACTTCAGGTTTGCAACTGAATTATTCCCTTGGGAGACGGGAGCCTAAACGTATACTAGTTCCACCCAGGAAGAGCACACACCAACTGCTGAAGCTTCCTTAGCCTGACGAAGGGTTTTTGAACCCGAAAGCTTGCTTAATAACTATTCTCCAACCATTTGGGTTGGTCTAATAAAAGATATCAAATTCACCCAAGGAACCTTGTCTGCCTATGTCCTTAGACCAACACGGCTAAAACCTAAACCCTAGTCCAACTGAGGAATTACAACATCCCATACACTGTTTCTTCATGTCCAGTCAAAAAAAACCTAGCTGGAAGGACAAGTTAAAACTGCAGTGCCCTTATTCTTGTAACAGGGCTCTTTCACAACGGGCTAAATACATGCTTTTTCTTGTGATGCATGCTGTTCCCTTAAGGCAGCTTCGATGCCCATTATTTTTTTGTATCTACCTCCCTGTTAACAAGCAACTGTAATGACTTGGCTTCAGCTCACTGCACTGAAACCATTAACCCTATAGAAGTGACACAGTTGCAATAAGCTGCACTCTTAATAAGCATTACACTAAGGCAATACTTGATTTCAACAGGGCGTCGGGAATCTTACATGCTTGATTACGGTCTGAATCTTTTGATACCTAAATACCTTTGAAAATCTGAGCCGAATGCCTCTAGCTGGGAGTCATAACAGACTCCTGCATTCGGGGGACCGGATGCAGAGGGCTTACATCACACATGTTGAATTGGGGGTTTCTCCATACATTGGAAGAAAGCAATATGACAATGTCAGGGATACCAGCCGTATCTTGAAGAAAGACCATGGGAACTAAAATCACAAACAGAACTGGGTTTTTATTATGAAAGAATCCTGCAGATACATAAAGGAAGTCCTCTTTGCAGAATACATTTCCTGAGGAAAGTAGATCACAGTATTCATTTGTCACAGAATAACATGTAGCCTGCTATAACTTTCAATGTGACTCTTTATTATTTAAATATGAACAGTATTCCTTCACATAAACAAGTACTCAGTCATCACATAATCGACACACAAACGACAAAATAAATATACAACAAGAGCACAGTTCATTTTGACTTAAATATTAAATAAATAATAAATACAGAATTTTCATTTCCTGTTATCAGTGCCTGAAACAATGAGTGAAAAAAAAAGGAAAAGAACAAAAGAACAAAAACGTCTCTTTCCCCCATTTGTCCCCCCCCTCAAAAAAAACCCAAAAAATTATCAAAACGCTTCAGTTATAAAATATCTTTAAAAAAATTCCCATTGTTAAAAGAATAAATAACAAAATATATAAAAAATAACTCGGTTGCATCAAAATTACAAGTAGGAGTTGTAGATAAGGGTTTTTTTTCCTCCTCTTTTTTTTTTTTTTTTTGGAATATCATCTTTATGGTCAAAAGGTGTTGCTTTTTTATTTTTTGCTGCTTTTTAATATTTCCCCCCCCCCCCCATGGTGCGGTGTCCAGTTTAAAATAAGTATAAAATTAATAAATAAAAAAGTTAAATAAATAGCAAAAAAGTTAACATAAGGTGTTGTGGATATAAATTACATACATCTTGCCAAAATTAAATAATATACAGGATAATTAAACTAACTACTTTTTTTTCCCCCCGTTTTCTCTTCCAGGAAGTGCAATTTCTCTACTTTTAAATACTAACTGAATTGCAGTCACAATCAATTTGGATTCTATTTACATGTTAAGAACATTGTGTTTTTAACACATCAAATTAATCTTTTTCCTCTTTTAAAAAAAAAAAATTTGCACTTGGAATGGGTTCTAAAAATAAGTGAACTCATAGGGTCTGATCCTGCAAACACTTAAGTCTGTAAATACATTTCCTCACATGAACTTCCCTTTTGACTTGAAAGGGGCTACTCTATAGCAGTAAAACTGCTCATGTCCTTACAAGCTTTATCCAACGTCCACTGGAATCAATGGACATCTTTCCATTGACTTCTCTGGACTTTGGATCGTACCTTTAACATTTGCAGGACTGGGCTCGTCATAAGACCATATTCTTCGCTTTAATCTTGGTCGGCAAAATCCCCTCCAACCTCCCTACCTCAGTGGAAATGATATCGAAAGTAGGCGGGTTGTGCATCCAACACTCAAATTCTAAGGGGCTTTCACCTCTATCACCTCCAGAAGTGTTATCACCAGGCTGATATAAAGGTCCAAATGAGAGTCAATGCTTGAATGAGCTGAGCTAAAGATCTGTATGGTGCTGGGATAGATTAGTACCTCTTTCATCCTCTCCACCTTTTCAAAATTACCTTAATTGCCGTGCCCTACCACGTTGGCCACTGGGAGGGAAGAGGTGCAAAGACATTCATGGCGTTGTAATTCTTTTAAGTGCACAGTGGGCCTTCGTGTACTGAACTGCTTAAAAAAGACTTCTTTGGAAGGATACCCAATACCCAAACGCTTTGTGTGTGTGTATGCCTGTGTGTGTGTGTGTGTGCACATGTGTGTGTGTGTGTGTGTGTGTGTGTGTGTGGAATGACACATTGCAGGAAAGAAAAAAATGCAGAAAAAGCAAAATCCAACCAAAAGGAAAACCCATTGCCACGTAGACATCTGTAAGAAATCAGCCACGGTTCACGGTAGATAAGCACTTTGCTGGCCATCAATTAATATCATTTCTTGTTTGTTCACGTTATGATCTTTCCACTGGCAGTACTGCACCACTGCAAGGATGACCACAATAACGAAAAGAAACAGAACTGTCAGCTAATAGACTTCCAAAAACTCATATATACTGGACCATGACACATTTAGAAATCTTCTGTATGAAATATCTGGTATCGGTCTATTCATAATACCTATTCTCATATTTAAGACAGACAAAGGAATACTGTAGTTGCAAACTCCAAAAGCTTCCCTGAGAACCTATTTTTTTTTTCAATGCGCTTTCCACTGGAGATCCAGAACTGCTCTTCAGATTTCTTTCAGAAAATAAAAATAAGCTACTTTATAATACTTAAGAGGTCCCACACCCAGTGCGTGTCTGAATATCAAGGGGTGGGAGGCCCAGCAGAGGTTCAGATTTACAGGTAGCCGGCAGCTCCGGCTTCGCAGGTATAATAACATATAACATAATTCGTGTGCGAGTAGGTGATCTGGACATACGACCACAGACAGCAGGAGGGTTTAAGCCAGCCTCGAATCAGACAAGCCCCGTTCCTCTAACCGGTTTAACGCTCAGATGAACTCTGCAACAGCGCCTTCTTCCTCACCAGCAACACATGGCAACTCAGGAAAGGGCTTGTTCTTCGCAAGCTACCATGCCCCGCAGCCAATTTAACCCTCTCGTCTTTGATCCTCACCTACCCCATGGAACGGGGAGAAAAATCCCGTTCTTCTGCAAGAAGGTCCAAGTAAAGGATAACATTTTGAGTTCAGTTCAGTTCTGCTTCTTGTAAATGGCCTCTTGGTTCAATTTTGGTCCTTTTTTTTTTTTTTTTTTTTTTTTTTCATTCATCAAACAAGTTGCACAACTTGCTAAACCTGAATACTCGGAGAGAAAGTTCCATCTTCGTACAGTCTCTTTGCATGTGGGTGCGTGCGTGCGTGCGTGTCTGTGTGTGTATGCATGTGTGTGCGGGTGTAGGTGTGTGTATTTTGTCCCATGGCATTAAACCTGGATGCCCTTGACAGCCTGCTTAATGCTTTCTAGCAGGTCCTTGTTCTCAGGGTTCTGGTAGCACTCCTGATTGGTATACATGTCAGTAAGGGTATTAACGTATGCGTCAAAGTTCTGTTCGCTGATTGGCTCCTGGATCCGACAAAAACAAAACAAAACAAAACAAATGCTATTGTTAATAACGGGGGACGGGAGGAAAAAAAAAGCCTGATATTTGTGGGGTGGGCTGAGGCTGGGAACAGACGTTGCATTGGTAAGTTGAGCCTGTGTTTGTTGCAGAACAGAAATCATGCAGGATTGGCATGCACACACATGACCCTTCTCATCAGGGTTTAGCAAGTAGCTGAATTCAGTACCGCTTTTCTGCCATTGATTCAGTGACACAGTCCTGGGATAACTGTACAGTTGTACTTTGCAATATCCTGGGATAAACCGTTACCACCTCTTAGCTGGGAAACTTTTTTAGGATTTATCCTGGGACAGCGAACACCGATGTCTGCATGATTGCACTCTGTCCTAGGATAAAATGATTTATCTAGGGATAAAGGCAATGTCTGTTAGCGCCTTGAGATGCGTATCTGCTAGTATTCAGCATGATGTGGAGCTGGATAACATCAGGCAAGATCACAGCCTCGTTGTGCCAGGAGCTGTACATACACCTCATCCCCAGTGGGCCTGAAACCCCACATCTCCTGCCCATCTCGAGATGCAACAGCTGATGGTGGATAATTAAGAGTGCTAAAATTAAAACCAGGCATAAGCCTTTGCAGGCCTTGCACAAACAAGACAAACAGTAGTTGGATGGAGAGAGACACAGAGAGGCCAAGTGACTGCCTGGAGATTACAGGGTGGATGGGGGGCAGAATCAGGATCCCAGCCTCCCAAGTCCCGGTCTCACGCTCTGGCATCCCTTTGATACAGATGTTGAGCGGGGAAGGTAACCCTCTTAACCCCTCGATAAAGAGAGCAGGTGAAATGCAAAGCGGAGGGAGAGAAAAGAACTGGAATATGACGAATGTGCAATTCTGCTGGGCATTATTTGAATTGGAGCTGGTTGAAGCCTTTAAAAAACATATATATTTGCCGGATGGTTTGTTTGAAGTCCCCTCTCCTGTCACAAATCTCATACCCCGTCAGGTACTCAGGAGAGCTCAGCAAATGCTGCCAAAAATACTCATCAAAGAAATTGTCTGAAGAGCAATTAGTATTATTCAGCCAGCTCAAATTTAAATACAAACCTGGATGAAATCTGGGAAGTCCACAGGATCTGCAAGTGGACAGCTTTTGTCTCTGCCCCCAGCACACGTACACGCATGCATGAATGGACACATGCACATGAACACACCCCTGGTTTAAACAATAGTAATTAAGTTTCTGGGAGTAGAGAGACGGTAATTAAAAGCCCCTTCCGGTTTTCCTATTTTAATGTAGTCTTTTCATTTTGCAGTAATACTATGGCAACATGCTGTGTGCTGTTAGACCTTGTTAAATTAAACAAAATACATGCTCTTTAAGCATGCTATTCTGTGGCTGCCAGCTATTCAAAACTGAATTGAAGCTACCTGCCTTATAATAGGAGCTGTATGATCTCCCTGACGTTGAAATCTAATCCCTCCTGATCTCCGCTTGTGCTATCGTGGTCTAAAAGGCACTGTGTGGCCTTGATAAAGTTCCTATTTTCTGATTTAACTACTGGATGTAATGAGACAGAACAATAGATGCAAGGGGAGATCAGCGGAGAATGACAGCAAAAGGGAAATACAATATACGCTTCAGAGATATGATAACGGTCCTGATGTTATGAAAGACAGATGTGTGTGTAGAGAGAGAAGGTGATCGCTAGGCATTTCTCCTGATTGTGAGTGCCATCAAAAAATGGGTTTTATATTGCTCATCTGATCACAGCGATTGGGATCAAACGCCCGAAAAGCTCCTTACCATGTGTGGAAGGCGAATATTGGCAAGACTTTGGATGAGAGCCTGGCTCAACCCTGAGAGCTCCAAGAACAGGGCTTCGTTTTGTTCCTCGATGATTTTGTTTTCCTCCTCTATGTTCTTGAGGTTTTTCTCCATGGTGGATATCTGCAAGGCAAGACGCACAGCTTTGCTATGAACCTGCTCCTTCAACCTCGCTCCCCTTTCTGATGTGCACTACTTCAGACAGAAAATGTTTGGCCAGCCCTATTTTTTTTTTTTGATGAAAGATGGGTTTTTAAATCAATGCATGCTCTCCTTGAAAGCATCAGCTGCCCAGAAGAAGGTTTGGCTCTTCCAGCAGAAAACTGAAAAGCTATTTTTGGTCAGTTTTCATCTGAAAAGTTTCGGTTTGTGATGAAAAGTCAACATTTTGATTTTAAAAATGGCAAGTCTTATAAGAAAAACCATTTCCCAGTCAGTCCTACAGTGCTCTCTGAAGTCTTCTGATGGGTTATCTTGACCCCGCAGGGTTACTGATGTAGGAGAATCGTTCCTTCTGTTCCCATGGAGCTAAGAGACATTACTGTGAATTATTTGGGCAAGGTTCTTTGGGTCATGGGCAACTGGTGCTTCCCGAGTCTGGGGGGGGCACCAGATCATCGACCGGGGGGGTCCCCAGCAGCCGATCATTGACCAGGGGTCCTCCAGCAGCTGATCGCTAAGCCCGAAATCACCAGTGGCAAAACCAGAACGCACTTCCTCTGGCACTTCCAGCTTCATGGCTGGTGTTTCCAGGGGGTGCAAATGCACGCACGTGCACCCCCTATGCATTGCCAGTGCTTTGAGTAAATATGATATATTTTATTCGATCAACTGAGTAGTTGGGAAAAAGTTCTTAGCAAGCTTTCGGGTGCAGTCACCCTTCTTCAGGCTTTCACATGGCTCCAACCAAAAACTCAGCAACGTGTGAATTATTTACACGCTCGGGGATCCCGCAGAAGACAATGGAGGGAGATTCTGCCTGCTGCTGGAGTCATGTCGCACTGCTTTTTAAATCTGCTCTGAAGGGTCAACCGAGGATTCTCCCTTCACTTCCCCCTCTCCAGCTTCCCCAGGACCTCCAGTCATTTTGGGCTAAAGCCCTACGGCTCAGAGCTTGGTAAAAGTGGACGCACACAAACCTGCGACTGCAGTTTCACCATGGCTGCTTCCATCTCAGAGTTGGACTCGTTCAGTTCGCTGATCTCCTTGTTCAACTGCTTAATTTCTTCATCGTTCTCTAGAACTGCAAGAGAGGAGCTGCAGTCAGTCACGGTCTGCTTAGAGTCCTAGGGTGCGTCTACACGTGCGCAATTACTGTGCAGTAACTGCAATGACTGTGCAGTACAGGTGCACGCCTACACGTGTGCACCTGGACTGTGCAATAAGCATGGTGACTTGCACTGACGTGAGTGTAAATTAGATACCTGCATCATGCCGATAGCAAATTTACACCCGGTTAGTTATTGCACAGTAACGCCTTACTGTGCAGTAACACTGTATGTGGGGACTGATTTGGGACTAACTTTAGTCCCAAGTCAGTCCACATGCAGCATTAATGTGCTTTAATGCCTGCACATGTAGACGCCAGCCTATTCCTGCTTACTGCAAAATAAATTTAAGCTGGCGTAAATGCACGTGTAGACAGGCCCACAGAAGAGGAAATGGTAATGGCAGTCCAGGCTTTCCTGGTGAGCACAAGGCACTGGTTTTGGGACCCCTTTCTTGTTTGTAGACTCCTCAGTTCTGATACGGTTCATACTCTTCCTCATACCACAACCAGCGTGAGTGCACAGATGGTTTTACAAATTCCATAGCATCGCATGTACAGATCCGCAGCCAAAGAATAGGCCATCTCAACTGGGGTCTACCACAAATCCTGCAGCGCTGACTGATGTACCAAGCGTGTGCATTGGTGAGAAAATGCATGGGGCAGAAAATGAAGCAATTTCTAAACCAGTGCAGAAATTCGTTGCATCCAGATCCTCCCCCACAAAAAACCAAACCCAGAATTAGTTTAATATAATAGTTGAGCTTAGTTAGATGTTAAAATGAAAAAAAAAAAAAACCACCCCAAAATATACCACCACTCAACTTCCGCCTCATAAGTATTTTTGGGAATCAGTATGAGAAAAATCTGCAAGGATTTCATGGAAATGTCAGTGAATTCTTGACATGTTCATGAATTTTGACTTTTTAAATCTGAAAACACTCTATAGAAGCTCATGATTTATCATTTGACACTTTTCCCCACCCCACTCCCCGCTTTCAATAATCTACTCAGAAAACAGCAAAGATACCACAAGGTTGGGACAACCAGGTGCATAGCTAGAGAATGAATAGTCAGACCGGACAGTTGGCTAGCAGCCGATAGGTGGTAATTATTTGTTGAAGCTCTCTGCTTGCCACTTCTGTTGGGTGTAGAGTCTCAAAAATAAGGATTGGTGTGTTTAAAAACAAAGAGGGATTTAATTCATAACAAATATCATTCATCATATATGCCCCTGGTAAGGTATTGAAGAGTCAAATTTGTAGCAAACCCAAGAACCCTTCTAACCTGTGAAGAAAATAACTCAAATGAGGCTTGGCAAGTTATTTTATAAATTATATTTTAGGAAAATGATCTCTGTAATTTTGACATAGGTATGAAAACAACCCCCGCTCCCCGAATTGGGGTAAATCTCCACTTTTAATCAGATAAAAACATGGGTGGAAAGAGAAATAATAGCATGGGTGAATTTACGTATATTGATGAGCGCCTGCTAACGACGGGACAGTTAATGAAAATAAGAGCTCAGCATGATGCATATGCATAGCTCAGTACAGCTCTAAATCTGGCAGATGTGCAAAGAGGCAATCAGTGTGTGGGAGGGATTATTTGATGGAGAGGTAGGGTTACTACAAGAGCAAAACAAAAGTTACACATTGGTGGGAAAGTTGTATAATTATCGGAGACAGGAAAATGTTAGTTAGTCCATAACGGATATACCAAATGTTCCTGTTATTTGCTAAATAAATTGTGTGTCAAATTATGCATCAAATAAGGTTTTGTCAGCCTTGTCTTTACAGGTAGTTTGCCTGAGGTCAACAGCATTACTTGTATGAGAAAGTACTACTCAAGTTGAGGACAAGTGCTAGAAGTGGCACCCAAAGGATCAATGGCTGGTCGAAAGCTATTATTTTACTACTTCGTTTAACTGATAACAAGAACATTTGACAAAAGAATTGGTATTGAGACTCACTGAATTCATCATATGATAATAATAATAATACAGCATGGATTGAACACATAAACAATATTTAGTTTATCAATACATCTGTGAGAGAAGATGACTGCAGACAAGACCCTTACCATCGCTGGTCTTGAATTTAGTGTTGAGAATTTCATCCCCTGAGAGTTTTCCTTTCTTCCCAGCAAAAGTAGCTCTTGGACACCCTGACAAACTAAAAGGCAAGTAAAAATAGGTTTCACAAATGCTCTGTTATCTATAGTTGTTTATGGACCCACCAGAAGTTCACACCATTTAGGCGAGTTGTACTATAATAGCTTCTAAAAGCATTCTCCAGTGCACGTTAAAAGGGGAAGTCGCTTTATGAATAATGCTACTAAAACCCTCATTTGTGACATCAAGAGCTGTTTTCAATGAGAAAAGATTAGGGAATGCCAAAGTCTTAATGGAATGGGCATAACAAGACTGCTGGATAACTGTCTTAAAAAGCCATTTCTCAGTATTAAAACTCTGCCCTGACACATTGATTTAACATCATCGAACAGTCTTTTTTCATGACCTGCCCCCAGTTGGATTTCACCATTTCCAAGCAAAAGGGCTGCACATTTTTTCTGGAGAAGATGCTTTTCCAGTTGACAGGCAACTGGTCGAGAACCAAGGCCATAAGTATGAATTTTTGGCTTCTTTTGGTTCCTGGAAAGACTGAACACTTTCAGCCCACCTGCTCCATGCAGGATGGGAAGGAAAGAAAACACCGAGGCAACGCAACAACACAGATTTCCCTGCCATGCGCCTGGTTATTACCTTCTGTGAGTGAGGAAGCTTCCATTGGCATGGCCCGAGCCGTCGCAGCCCGGGGTTGGACAAGTAGGCCCCTCATTCTTCAGTGATTTCCAGGAGAACGACGAACCATTGAGAGATCCTTCCTTCTGCCTGCGGGCTGCGAGTGGGCATCCCGACGCACTGCGGTGCGAAGCATATTTGCCGCTGATGTGTCCCAGCCCGACACAACCTGGAACTGGACACCTGATTGCAGGGAAGTGCAGAGAGTTAGAAGGTGGTTTTCTCAGCGGTGGCAGATGACAGAAGGAGCAATGGGCTCAAGTTGCAGCAAGGAAAGCTGAGGTTGGATATTAGGAAAAATGTTCTCACTAGGAGGTTAGCAAAACATTGGAGCAGGTCACCCAGGGAGTTTGTGGACTCTCCATCCTTGGAGGTGTCTAAGACCCAACTAGACAAAGCTTTGGCTGGGATGATGGAGTTGGGGCTGGTCCTGCTTGGAGCAGGGGGTTGCACTAGATGTGACCTCCCAAGGTCCCTTCCCACCCTCATTTTCTATGACTCTATAAGGTGAGAATCGGAGGATTTCCAAGGTGCAAAGCCCCTTGCCAGGAGATCAGGGGTGGGAAGAACCAAGAGAGGGTTGACAGGGGCACGCCAAAGCCAGGATTTCTCATCTGAATTGGGTCTTTTAGCTCATGAGAGCTCCATGCTCATGGCTCCAACCCCATTGATCCCAGCTGAGGATCTGCCCCAAAGCAAATACCAATACAACCACTCCGGATATTTTAAAGGGGCATTGTTGGGTGTCCTTGCACCTCACAGCCCAGGTCTGAGACTCGCAAGGCAATTCACATCACTCAGAGCTTCTGCTTCAGGCTCTCTGCAGACACAGGCAGATTCGCCTACATCTGTTCCCTTCAGTTAAGGTTTCTAAACATTTCCCCACAACCCCGAGGCCTGGACACTGACTTATTCTTTTTTAAGTGAAAGCTGAGGTTGTCCCCTAAATGCCTGACTCCAGAAGGTGGACCTCTAGGCAGAGGCGGCAAGTGTCTTGGTCTTCCTCTACCATGCTTAATCCTTTTCTGAGTCCGGGCTTCAACACTGTTGTACGGGGGCTTTATGGTCTTCCCACTGCATCCCCTGTAACCCAGAGCCTGCCTGCGAGTTGCACCGCCCCAGCACGTAACACAACAGCGCCGCTGAGATGCTGATGTGTGGAGCCCTGCTCCAGGGGTCAGCCACCACTCGTGGAGCCACCTGCTTACATTTCACGCCTTTTTTTTTCCAAGGGGCAAAGAGTAACAGGGATGGGACCTAACCAAGGCATAAATCAGGGAGGGTTTCCACCCAGCGGGAATGTCGGATAAGACTGCAATGGATGGTGGGCAAAGGGACAGCGGCCCGAAGTTGCACATTATAGATATAAGAGAAAGAAGAGCATCCCTGAGACAGCTGTGGTCCAGAGCATCAATTTATAACAACTGGGCGCCTTTGTGCCTATAATACCAGACTGTCCTGGCTATAGTCTGAGCACTACAAAATGTTCTGTCCCATGCTAGTGGCTAGCGATTGTTTAGCATCACAACCGCGGCGGAAACAAACCCAAATGCAAAGGCTTTGGAAACGGCCTGAAAATACATCCACACCTGAGTCGAGAAATGGGGGAAAGAGACAGAAAGATGCAGAGGAGCGGGATAAAAAAGACTCGTCTGCAATCCATCGAGCTTCTGCTTCTCATGACCCAGACCTTCAGTTTAAATAAATGTCAGCGGTCGTTTCGATCGGCTGGTCTCGCGTGTTCATCAAAAGAGAAATGCAAAAGGGCCGGCTTATGAAATGTCCCCTTAACGACGGTGGAAAATTTTGCCAATTCTTTGGCAATCACTCCCGTGTGGATGCAGCTATGGGAGCCAGGTGAAATGCTCATCCTTGCATGTTGATCCTTATTTTTTTATTTAATAAAGCTGCTTGTAGACTTCTAGGTGAATTAGGGGCTGCCCCAAGAACAGTTAAGCTAACGTGAAAATGGGAGGAAGTTCTGAGTTTAATTATTCAGATCAGCAACATTTTGTTACTGGGATGGTGAGGAAGAGACAAAACATGGGGCAAAGAGGGACACAGGAAAAAAGGAGCCCTTTTACTCAAGTGGGGGCATGCTCCCCAAATACATTCACTACCACCTCCATGCCTCCTCCTTGCGCACCCACGGGTGGGAAGCAGACGACAAAGAGTTACCTGGTATCTTAGCCATCAGTGATGATGCTGACAGGCAGAAATTCAGGATGAAGAGTTTCATTAACAGATACTGAGAAGCCAATATTATGTGCCAAGACCTTTTTAGGTTAGCAGCTTAGCCCTGGCTTGCATTTCTGGGCCTCTGTTGCCACATCCAACTAAATCCCACCTGAGCTGTCTTTCCCATCCCATTGATGGTATTATAGTACCGGGAACAAAAGTGTCCAGTGTTGGAGAGTGGAAGCCACATTTGTAGATGAGTCTGGCTAGGAGGAGAGTTGTTTGAGGGGTAGGAAGAAATGAATAATATGTGTTGTCCCTCTATGGAGCTTGCAAACGGGCAGATCCCTTTAGAGAACATTAGACATTTAAGAAACAAGGAACAGCTGGGAAATTCAAAATTAAAACTAAGGGGAGCGGGGCAAAAAAAAAGACAAACCAAAAGCTAAACCATGAAGAGATATGGAAATGCACAGCAAAGGGCACATAAATACTCTTGCTCCACTTCTAAAAACAACCAAGAACCAGGTCACAACCTTGCCCTAAACCATGCCTGCATTCATAACTTGAAGGATGGAGAAGGCATCACTTACTTCTGGGGGATGACCCGGGCAATTGTGTTACCCAGAGACAGCAAACCAGGTTGTCACAAATTCTGGGGAAAACACCACTCTGCGCTTGGGATTTACAACTTGGCAAACACGAAACATCCCTGTTATTTGCTCTGTATGGCAGGAAGAAGGAAAAAAAAGGGCTTTTCCTTGGAATCAGTCACCTATCCCAACTTCTTGCATGGGGTCTGATTGCAGGATCAGGGCCTGATTGTCCTATGTCTTTATGTTCAGCAGTAAAGATATACTCCATACATGCATGCATGCATGCACTTACACACGCACACACACGAATGTACGGCCAAAGGTAATAAAGATGGGTGTTTCTGCAGTGTGAGTCCATCGGCCGTCTCTCAGCCCACGTTTGAGGCCAGCGATCGAGCTCGGGAGGTAGGGTTTTTGCAGTGGAATTGCTGACACAATGTGCACTAATTGACGTGTGGATGAGTGCCACCATAAAACAGGAAAAGCTTTCCTTCCCCACCCTCAAGCTCCCTGGCTAATGGCATGCTAAATAAATTTCATCATTCAACAAAACCTGGTGTATCTATTAAGGTTTCTGCTGCGGTTTGCATTTGTTTAAAGATGCTAGTCAATTATAAATACAGTTAAAAGTTTATTACTTGAGGGAGGATGCCCTGTAAAAAAAAAAAAAAGAAGGTAAGAAATGGTAGAGCTAACCCTTCCACCTCTATATATCTACGTGAAAGAAATGAGGGAATACAAGCGTTCCCATCCAAACACCCTCTACGCTGTTCCTGAACATCACAATTTGCACCTCACCAATGACATGATTTCCCTTGTTATTTCTGTTTTGTGTAGAAAGAAGTTGGCAGCGGAGGGGACAGCCACACGCCCAGGTTTTTCCCCCCCGCCTCCCCCAAGATCATTTGAAAAATGCTGATCTCTTATTTTAATCAGCTGCAAATGCAGCACAATTCACTTATAATATCCCTGCCAGCAGGATCCTCGCTAAATTCATAACATCATTGCTTTTATATGATCACAAGCAAATTACTAAATCCTCAGGAGTAAAAAGAGGATAAAAAAGAAAGCGAGAGAATGAAACCAACCCCATCATTTAGTATGCAGCCTTTATGTCCCAGCCGTTACATATTTTACACTGTTAATTTAACTTTCATTACACTTTTATTGTAAAAAATAAACCAGAGACTTATTGTGCAAAACAGCTGGCTTGGACTTCCCTCCCCCCTTTAGCTGAAGGGTTATAATGGCTGATCAATTAGGCAGCGATTCTCTGTTGTTTTCTTTAGACGCCGGGGTTAGGCTGAAGGTTGAGGTGATCTGCTCCATCACATCTGTACTAAATTACTTGAAGGATGAGCAACAAAACAACAGGGACTAAATTACTTTCTCCTCGGTGGCAACGTGAAAAACTCGGACCGGTTCCAAGTGGCTTTTGGTACGCAGATGGAGTAATGGAATTACAGTTAAGCCTCTTTAATGCAAACCTGCTGGGACCTTCACCAGAGCGTACCTTGTTATGGAAGACAAAATGCTAACTTCCCAAGGACTAGGGGAACTCAGCAACAAAGGGATCATTTCATCTCATTGCTGCCTTGCCCTCGAGTCCGCTCAGCTGGGCTTTCTCCAGCCTTAATTGCCATTCCCACTTGTTAATAATTGAGGGCCTGCTACTGCTGCCCATGCAGCAGGGTAGGGCTGAATCACACCTTGCTTTACACCTGGCACTGCTGCCTTGGACCTGCGTGGAGGTCAGGTGCTCCCCTTTCCAACCAGATGATGGGCAACACCTGGGGAAAGCCTCATCTCCCCTCACCTCCTGCAACATGGCAAGCCTGGTATTGCTCTGAGCTAAGTGCAATAGCAACCTGCCTGGAAGAGCGAGGGGTCCAGGGGGATGGATTCGGAGGCAGCACCTGGCCCCGTGGCTGGAAGGCTAGCCACATTGGCCACCTCGCTGGGAAGAGCTGTCTTAGTCAAAAGATGAGTTTGCTGGAGAAGCATGAAGTCCTGCGGTGCTATAACCCAGCAGGCAGGACATAAAACAGTAAAAAAATCAGCACCTGAGCCAAGGGGGAGCAGGAAGGAGCCCCGAGCTGCTTTGCAGGGCCTGGCACGAAATCTTTACTCAGCCTCACACCCCTGCACTGAGAGCATCCCACGTGCAGCCAAGAGCCACCTTGAAAGGGCCCGCAATTCTGCACTTTTCTATCGAAAAATCAAAGACTGGTCCAGACCGAATCCTTTTGCAAGGACGGGCAGATTTGCAAAGGGGGAAAGA